ACTAACAGAAGTATTTTAAAGTCTATTCTCTGAGATACAGGGAGCCAGTGCAAGGACTTTAGAACTGGGGTGATGGGCTCTACTTTCTTAGTCTTAGTGAGGATGCTTTTGGAGGTTCAAGTCTGAATCCAGCACTACATCTAGATTTCGGGCCTGATCAGTGGTTACTAGCTGAAACGACTGAAGCTGTGTGCTAACTTTAGATCTCTCCTCTTTTGGTCCAAAGATTATTACTTCAGTTTTGTTTTTATTCAGTTGAAGAAAATGATGGCACATCCAGGCATTGATTTCTTCTAAGCATTTCCTCAGTGCTTGAATTGGTTCATAGTCACCTGGTGACATGATCATGTAAAGCTGTGTGTCGTCAGCATAGTTATGGTAGATAATGATGTTGTTTTTTAATCACTGAGCAAGAGGGAGCATGTAGATATTGAATAGGAGGGGACCCAGGATGGACCCTTGGGGAGCCCCACATGTGATTTTTGTCATCTCTGATATAAAGTTGCCTACTGATTATGGGTGGAACGGTTCACAAAATCCACGGTTCGGTTCACGGTTTCGTGGTCACAGTTTTCGGTTTGGTATGTTTATTGTTACACCGAAAAAAAAAAAAAAAAAAAAAAATAAAAAAAAGTAAGAATTTTTTTTTTATGAAATGAATGAAAAAATCCAAAAATATTAATGAATTGTAATTATTTTTAATGATTCGCGGAAACCATGGATCATTTCCGCATGTTTTGCTGCTTTGAATTTAATCATCTCGCGCATGCTCTCTACCATCTCCAAGGAACTCAGAGCGGAGCGGACAGGAGCCACAGTGGGGGCTGTAGGCTTTGCTTTGTGCACGTGGTCTGGAGCGCAGCGGAGCAGAGCGCTGATGGAGTATGTGTTGCTAAATGCTTGCACACTGTTGCACTTTTATCTACAACTTTCTTTCCGCCATCATCGTACAGTAGGTCACTCTAAATGCAAAGTGGTCCCATAAAGCAGACCTATAAGTGCTGCTGGCGCGTCTTCCAACTCCTGTTCTATCCCACTCGCCATACCCACACAATTCTCCACAACAACTGATTTTTTTTCTGCTACACCCGGCTACGCTGCTTCGCTTCTTCTTCTTCTTGTTTACTACTGGTGGTTGGCTTTGGTCACAGTACCGCCACCTTCTGCTCTGGAGTGTAAACGCTTCGCCTATAAGAAAAAGGAGCAGCGCATGAACCGAACGCAACACACGCGAACCGAACCGAGACAGTCGAACCGAACGGTTCGGGCGGTTTTCATAAACCGTTCCATCCCTACTACTGATACAAAAAAAGTATAATGATCAAAGTTTGTATAAATGGTAAAATATAGTCTCAGTACTATTCTGGTCTGATGATTATATCTTCTCTGTGTTTCTTAATTGGTACAATTGCTTGATTAGCCTTGGATTGGTAGTGATTTGAAGCTGTGGATTTTTAAGAGGGTCTGGTGTGTCAGATGGTGGTTTAATTGTAACCAATGAATTTGAGCTAGATAATTTTCAGGTTTGTGAATGTAGTTAATTTTTTTTTTGTCAAAATGGTAATGTATGATTTAAGTAATTCCATATCCACCATGGATGGAGGTCTTAAAACCAGTCTTGACCAGTTGTTGTCTGGTCTTGGGATCAGATTCGGATCTTTATGCCTTATTCTTGGCCTAGGTCTTGTTTTTTTGGGGGGGGCCTTAAAAAATGGTATCAAAGCCAGTTAGAGACTTTGTAATTTTGTTAGAAATAAATGTTCTGAGAATAGATGTTTTGAGAGTGACTGGTTTCAGCTCGAAAGAGGATGTTCAGGCCTCTTTCACAACTTGTGGCACAACATTTATCTGGAACG